ATGTACCTAGATTACCACTCTCCCACCCTTCCCTCCTCACTCGGCCACGGTGCTCTTGCGCTTTGAAAAAGAGGAAGAATATGGCGGCCGCTCCTCTAGGTATTTTGGAAGATGAGGGTCCACTACTGGTTGATCGCGAATTTAATGAATGGCGTAATGGGCTATGGAAATACGCAAATGTATAGGTCATCCCGGTAGGTATTCTTTAGTAGACTCGGCCCGCTGAAGGTGAAGGGAGATTACAACCACCAAATTATTAAAGCTGGGACTGGTATTTGAATAGCCATGCATAGGTTAACATCATCTCATAAGAGACTTCCCTGTGTTTGCACACTAAAGAAATTTTATTTAAAAAATTTGAAACTCATTTATTATACTTGGTCTAAGGTAGAATACAGACTCTCAGTGGACAACAAATAGTAATTTTGGGGTTTCTTATTGATGACATGAATAAATCTGAAGCCAGGGAGATTTGGAAATGATTAGTTTTCTACTTATATTGTCTCTATCATTCAGTACTCGTCAGAGATCATAGGTCTTCACTTCTGTTTAAAAACTGCAAATCTTCCGGTACACTCAGTATTGGGAATTTAGAGATCTTGCTTTGTCAATCTGCTCTCCATTTCCTTCTCTAACCTATAATGTATCATCTGTAAGGTGATAAATTCATGCACTGGAACACATTTGCATGTATATGTATATGAAATACGAATCCAGCTAATGAGCTGTTTTTTTTCATATTGAGTCAGGTGTTTTAACCCTTTGTTATTGCTGTGTTTGCTCAGGCACTTGTTCATTCATGTGTTTGTTCTTTGATTCTGAAAAGATAGAATTCTTTGAGATTCTGTTGTGAGTACTAGAGGAGGAATGTGAAATAATCTCACGAAAGATATTAACACATGCTATCATATATTGACTTCCAGCAAAATCTGTTTACGAAGCAAGCAGTGATGACTGCACGCCGCATCCTAGAAGACTTAATTGATGGGATACGTACACCTGAAAGACCATGCTCCCCTGTGGATGCTTACATCACTCAAGAGGAGTTATTCCAGCAACATAACAAAGGAGTAAGCCCTTTACTTAATGGTAGAAGTAGCATATACATATTCTTGCTAACAAAAACTGTCTTGGCAAGCCTCGCACTTAATTTTTTTTTAACTAGCCCACCGGGCCCGCAATGAGTTTTACTAGCCCTATATAACCTTAAAAATATTGAGTTTTAACACAAGATTAATCAAACACTGACTCATTAAGAGATCATCAATGAATTTTTTGCAACTTCTTACTCATACAAGTTCAAGATCTACTCTTTGCTTGGGGTGGAACCTGTATAGTCATCTGTGATTGTGTAATGAGAGAAATTAATTTAAATACCACTATTTTATTTCACCATTAACCCAAGTTACACGGACAGTATTCTGAAACTTTCAGAAAGTGAAAGGATTGTGAATGAATTCAATGCAAACGTGTGCCTCGCTAGTCTTGTCTACATACACAATCCATGCTGCAACCAATATCCAACCAATCACAGGGCTACATTCATATATACTTTCCTTCGGAATCTAGCAGTATGAGTCTTGTTCCATAATGCAAACATTTGCTAGCATTGGGTCAGCATTGGCTTGTGATGTACAAACATACAGAAGCACAAGCATGGCGGGTATCGGCAGTACAGATGACTTACTTACATGTACGTTCGTGTACTGTGCGCTGCAAGCACAGTGTACAGTCAGCTCAATGGTGCATCTACTTTTTACTAGTCCAACAGGCTAGCTAAGTGGTGCATTTTACTAGCCCGCAGCTGTTTTTACTAGACAATGACTGTTGGGCTAATGCTAAGGTTGAGCCCTGCTTGGTAAGCGCTGTAGCAGGAGTCACAAAAATTGGCTTTACTTTCTACCAGCGATTTCTTAGATTCAACTTGCACCACCTAAAGTGGTTCATTGTTACAGTTACATCAAATTTGTTGTATGACTGAAGTGTAACAGTTTGTGAAAGTGCAGTGATGCTATTCATTAGATTTTATAAAATCTTCTGGAGGTCTTCTTCTTGAGTCACTACACAAGTCCTGTCCTGTGCTGGATGCAGGATCTGGCTTTGGCGTTGAAAACCTCCAGATCACTGACAGTGCATGGTTCTGGCAGAAGGGGGCAGACCAAAAAGTGTTGCATCATCTGATCCTCCCCACAGTCGCAAGCAGGCCTCGATGTTAACGGTTGTCCGATTTCCCTGGACAAGTAATTTCTCTTTTTGGGCAAGTAAAAATTTGGGACAAATTGCCCAAAGGACAGGTAGTTTTTCTTGAAATAAAAGTGTCCATTTTTCGTAGCCAAGAATAGTAGTCAGCAAATTTATCTTTGATTTGTTTTTCTTCTTCACAAAAGCTTATAAAAAGTGGTAAATAGCTGGTGGTGTACAATGATTTTGGCGAGCTGCGAAGAAAGTAGGAGCTTATGTAATACTGATTTGGGCCATCTGTCCCTCGGGGCGTCCATCCGTCCGCCCTCAAATGCTAAAGTTTTTCTTTGCAGGTCCATAGGTGTTAAAATGTGCCATTGAGTGCTTTGTTTGCTTCTTGGAATTCCATCAGTATTTAAATAGTCTCATATGGCATGAATGCTTAGAAACTTATGAATTTGATGAAAAAAATTATTAATTTTGAATGTTAAAGTTTTGAGTTATGTTGTGTACTTGCCCTGTAGTACATTGTACATACGTACTGAGCACTCTTGTAATGGACACGTACATGTATGTATGTATGTATGTATGTATAGACAGTGTTCAGACACATACAAATGTACATGTGCAGTATGTGGGAAAAATGTAAGGGATGGGGGGGACTCCAAGAGACAGATTAGT